GGAGGAGGAGGAGGAGGAGGAGGAGGGGAGGGGAGGGGAGAGGAGAAAAGATTTGAAACTTTTTAGAGACAAAGGGCTAATATCCTTTTTTTTTTGGTACTGGGGATTGAACTCAGGGGCACTCCATCACTGAGCCACATCCCCAGCCCTATTTCGTATTTTATTTAGAGACAGGGTCTCACTGAATTGCTTAGTGCCTCCCAGTTGCTGAGAATTTACAATTTTGGAATTTACAATCCTCCTGCCTCAGGCTCCCAAGCTGCTGGGATTACAGTTGTGTGCCACCACACCTGGCTCTAATTTCCTTTCTTTTTCTTGTCATTATTTTTATTTAAAATTTTAAATTTGTTTTAATTAGTTATACGTGACAGTTGAATGCATTTATGCACTGTGATAGATCCTACATAGATGGCGTATGATTTCTCACGTTTCTGACTGTACATGGTGCAGAATCACATGGTCACGCAGACATGCATTTACGTAGAGTAGGAATGGCTGTTTCATCCTGCTGCCCGTCCTTTGTCCCCATATCCCTTCCTGGTGCTCTACCTAATATGACTTTGAAGGAAACGGTGAGCGAGGGCTGACTGAGCCTGGTTTTTAAAGAAGGTGAGCGAAGGGCGGAGGGGTTTGGTGTTTCCCCCAAACGTTAGGCTTAGGCGTTCCACAGGGTCCAGCGAGGCTGCCCCCAGGCGCTACCCCGGAGATCGGAAACCAGGAACCAAGTTCAAGGACACACGGTTCAAAGCAGCACCGTTCCCCGCAGCGGGTCTGCGAGGGATGAGGAACCAGCCATCCGAGGGAGTGAGGTGCCGACCGCGGGGGTGCACCTCGGAAACAACGGCTAAGTCAAAGCAAAATCGTGAGGCGCCCTTGAGAGGAGGTGACCAGAGCAGGGAGCGGTAGCGCAGGGGGATGGGAAGCGGGTGGGTGGCGGCCGGGGTCGGGGGAGGGAGTGGGGATCCACCCCAGGGCGCACGGGGCTTCCTTCTGGGACGATGAGAACCGCTTTGGAACTAGGTAGAGGTGCTGCGGGGTGGACTAACGGGTGGACCCAACGCTGCGGAATAGTGCCTTCTAAAAGGGCTAATTTTATGTCACGTACGTTTTCATTTCCATTTTAAAAAAAAATCATAAGGCTGGGATGCAGCTCAGAGGCAGGTCAGGTGCTGGGCCCGTGGAAGGCTCTGGGCTCCATCCCCAGCACCTCAAAAGTGTCTACAGAAAGCAGAATACCAAGGCCTCGCCGGACTCAAGCGTCTGGGAGGAAAGCGTTCCTTTTGACCAGCAATGACACAAAGGAACCTGAAACGCTGCACCTCTAACAATGCTCCTCATCCCGAGCCCTTGCCCTCGCACGGTGGGAGAGGAATGCAGAAGAGCTTGTCTTCTGCTAATAGACGCCCAAATTACAAACCCCGAGCTCCTGGACTCACCAGCTGGACTTCTAGGAACCCCTGCAGGTGAGGCTGAGGGGATTCCTGTCAGGCAGCTGTAACAGGCTCTGGGGGGCTAACAGAAGCTTGGGAAGACGCAGTGGCCACTGCCACCCCCCAGGGCCCCTCTGGAGAATGCCCTCGGAAGACGTCATAATTAGCTAATCACCAATTCTTAGGAAGGAGTTATCAAACAACAATAAAGCAGTCATTGATTTTAAAAAAAATTTTCTCACAAAGAGTAGGGTCCAAAGTTTTCTATTTAATTTTTTATTGTAAAATAACAGATAATAGCTTCTTTGATAACTTTATCAATAAAAACTAAATCTGGGAAGAAAGAAAAAAGGAAAGAGAAGGAGAAAGAGGGAAAGAAAGGAAGAACAGACAGGGGCAGTCTTTGCAGAGTGATCTGGAAATGCATTAAGTGAAAAAAAAAAGCAACGTGCAAAGTTCACAGTTATCGTGAGCAGTGGAGAAGATAAGGAGAAGACAGGGCACAGGTCTGTGCACATTCACAAGCTGCTTCTATAAGTGTGTGCAAGGAGTTAGTGACAGTGTGTGAGATGAGGTCAGCACAGATGTCCATATTTCCATTACAAGTCATTACAAGTGTCACCTATTCAAATCAAAAGGACTAGTCCCTGCACGTAGTAACCCTGTCCCCAAGTCCCCCTAGAGACTGAGCTGCTCCCAGTGCCACACCCCCAGGTTGTCGCTGGCTCTGTGGTGGGTGGATTCCAAGAGGCTGTCCCGTGTCATTTCGGACCCTGGACCACTCCTGGACTTCCCTTCTGCCCCACATGGTGGGATGTCGCTGCTCTCGGACGCTTCTCCACAGCCCCCTGGAATTTCTGTCCCTCCCTCAAGGAAAGGCCTGAGGGACCCTTTCTCAGTCACCTAGCAATCTCTAAGCTCTTGATCCCCACCCAGCCCTCCCTTGTCTCCCCTGGGAGTCTTTATGTAGTAGGGATGGAGGATGGTGAGTCGGAAACCTTCCATTATTGTTTGATTATATTTTAATTTTTTTATGTGGCAATATACACATAACATAAAATTTATAACAGTCACCGTGGTGTGCAGTCCAGCAGCATGAAACACAGTCACAGCGTCGTGTAACTATCACCACGACCTACCTCCAGAACTTTCCATCTTCCCAAACTGAAACTCTGTCCCCCTTAAACATGAACTCCCCATCCTAACCCACCCATCATTCTACTTTCTTTCTCTGTGGATCCAAAGACTCTAGGGACCTCCTGTGAATGGGATCAGACCAGATATGTCTACTTCATGGACCACAATGTCCTCAGGGCTCATCTATATCTTCAAGGTTGTGTGATATTCCATGGCATGGGTGGACCCTATTGTGTTTGTCAGGTGGGCTGCTTTTTGGCTTTTGTAAACAATGCCACCCTGCACGAATGCATACTAGAGGAAGTTTCTGGTTCACATCTGTTCTCCTCCTCTGGTGTCTATTGTGGAGATCCCTTGGAGGCTCCAGTTTCACAAACCCAGTGCTGATTTTGAAACCTGCTGAGATATCCTCCCACAAAGTGAGTCACTTTTATTTATTAACTTAAAAATATTAATGGCCTTTATTTTCAGGACAGTTTTAGACTTACAGGAAAATTGATTAGTGAATGTTCAAAATTCCCACATACCCCATGCACATGTTCCTCTTTTTAACATCTGCTGTGGTCTAGGTACACCCTGTACGTCATGTGCTGGACCTGATGCCCAATAGAATGGCATGAACAGGTGGATTCCTTGGGAAGTAACTAAGTCATGGGGTTCCACCTTTGGGTCCTTATGAAAGGGGTTGGGGGAGGCCCTGGCACCTTCTGAGGACACTGAAGAAGCTGCCATCTTTGAAGCCCACACCAGACACCAAATCCACTGGTACCTTGATCTTGGACTTCCATCCTCCAGAACTGTGAGCAACATACTTAGGTTGTTACGCTGTTTATAAAATACCCAGTCTAAGGTGTTTTGTTACAGCATCCCAAAGGACCAAGGCAGTATCTTTTACTAGTCTGATACCTTTGTTACAATTAATGAACCAAGGTAGATATATTATCATCAAGCAAGGCCCACACTTCATTTACATTTCCTTATTTTCTATTTATTATACTTTTTCTTTCCAATAACTCTCCCAAGACAGTTAGTCGTTGTGTGTCTTAGGATCCTCTGGGAGGTGATATGCTACAGCACTGCTCTTATTTTCACAGCTTTGAGCAGGGCTGGTGAGGTAGCTCCTGTCCATCCCAGGAAGCTGTCTGCCTATCCAACAGATGTATCAAGGAGGAGCTGGTATCGGGGAGCAAGTCCTATAATCCCAGGACTCCTGAGGCTGAGGCAGAAGGATGGCAAGTATGAGGCCAGCCTGAGTAGGCAACTCAGTGAGACCCTGTTTCAAAATAAGGGCTGGGGATGTGGCTAAAAATACAGTGCTTGCCTAGCATCCGGTAGGAAGCCCTGGGTCCCACACTCAGCCCTGCCCCCCCACCCCCCCAAAATGGGGAAAATAGTAACAAACAAAAAAAAAATGATCAAATAAACCAATCAGGAACCTTGATCAGGTATGCACCCATTGAATGCCAAAGAAGGTCTCATCAGCATTTTGGGAGGGCAGCAGAGACAGGGTGAGGTTGGTGCAGAGGGTGTCCCCAAGGGCCAGGGGTGTCAGGCGCTGGGAGGTGACAGTGCAGCCCTGGTGGAAATTCAGGCGCAGCAGGCTGATCCTGTGGGTGTCTGGGGAGCAGATGCCCACAATCAGAGTGGCCTTGGGAGGCACCGTGGTCCACACAGAGGAGCAGTTGGCTAGTGTCACCTGGATGTGCAGCCTGTAGATGCCATCACGAACGACCAGCAGCTGCCCGTTGACCAACTGTGGTCCATGCTGGAAGGAGCGGCCCAAGGCTGGGCCCGCCTGCCAGCACAGCCTGGGGTCCAGCCGGGGACCTGGGGCAGAGGGTTAGGGGGACAGAAGGTGGAATTTAGGGAAACCAAGGTGGACAGAAATAGGGAGTTCGAGGGAGAAGGAGGGAGGGGGCAAAGGGAGGAGGACAAGGAGCAGGAAGGGGAAGGAGGAGGGAGGGAAGCAGAGACACCGAGGAGACCCAGAGGAGCACAGACGGCAGGCAGAGGGGCAGAGAGGAGGGAGGGAGGGAGGGAAGGAGGGAGAGTGGCGGGGTCCTGGGCTTCTCTCCGCCTTTCATCATTTCGAATGTGAGCTGGCGTTCTCGTGCCAGAAGCAGGGCTCGGTCACCAGTGACATGGTCCTCAGCCTCCTCACTTCCGCAGATCTGTGCTGGGCATGACTACTCCCAGGTGGCCACCTCCCTGAGGACAGCCACTTGCGGCCTCTGTGACTCGTCCCCTGACCCCTGCACCTTGAACAGCCTGTACAGCTATGCCACAGGGACCACTCTCAGTTTTTCTCTCTCTTTTACCCAGTTCCTGTTGTGCCTTTCAAGAAGAAAAGGCCGCGGTGAGGCCAATACAAGGTCCAGAGGGGCTCTTGCCTCTCTCTCCCCCGTGCACCACTTTCAGTCTCATCCTGTTCCTGAGGCACACCTGAGTCTCCCTCTCCTCCCGGTCAGGCTCCCAGATAGGGGCCATCGTGAGAGGCATGAGCTGGACACAGGTCAGAGGAGAGCCACCAGAGTGCTTGCCAGTGTCAAGCTTCTGGTGAGAGGGACACCTGGTCATGGGTTGGACACTTGAGCAAATAGACCATCTGCCAGGACCAAGAAGCATCCTAGGGAGGACACATTGTAAACTCCAGACCAAATGTCCTGGAGCGTGTCACGGCAGTGCCAGAGCCCACAGCCACTCTCCAGAGACCCAAAGGCCAGTTAGAGGAGGGAGGGGAGGAGGGAGGGAGGCAGACAGGCAGCCACACACAGAGGGGGCCAGGGCCCAAAGGCATTAGGGAGAGGCTAGAAGTTCTTTCCCTAGACAGCAGAGCGGGGCCCCACTTCATATGGCAGTCCCAACCCCCCACTTGGCTTAATTCTTCCCCTTGCCTGCGGCCCTCCACTTGTCTTCCTGTCCCTTTGTGAGTTTGTGTTGGGGAAGGTGCTGGGGGAAGCCAGGGCCGCAAAGGCTGGGCAGCGCTCGGTCCCAGAGCTGCCCTGGTAAGCGAGCCCATTCGCTCACTGTCAGACCCCCTGGGTGGCAGGACACTCCCCAGCGCAGGGGCTTTGCCTGCTTTGTTCACCACAGTGGCACCTATAGTGGCGTTTGTTCCACATGGTGGAAAAGATGAAGGAAGCGCCAGCTCTGAGGTGAGGGTGGCCGATTTAGTCTTTTCCAAGGGAAGAGCACACGGTCTATCAGGAAGGTGGTGTCCGGCAGGGCACACACTCGGGCTCCCGCTCTCTGGACTTGCCCTCCCGGCTCTCCGTGTCCCCCCCCCCACACACACACACTAGACCAGAGTTACCTGTGAGGTTCAGCTGGAGCTCGGCTACGTCCTCCTGGAAGAAAAGAGCAGAAAAGAGAGTGGACGTGAGCACAGTGCTCCACGCCCCTTGGCCCGGCGTCTTCTCGTCCACTCCTCACCCTCCGGGCCCAGTCCTGATTTCTGAAAGACCTCTTAAAGAGGAAGTCGGTTTGAACGACAGAGAGATCAAAGCCAAAACCTTGAAAAGAACTTCCTACTTTTCCTGGAACTCTGCGCCTTCGATCTCCCTCCCGAGCCACCACGAGGGTGGAGCGGCCCGCACACCCGCCTCCCTCCAGCAGCGGCCCGAGCGTCTCCAGGCCGCCGGGCTCACCGGCTGCTGCTGGCTCTCCTGCCCTGGCAGCCCCCTCCCCAGGGCCCCCGCCCTCAATGCCACCTCAATGCCAGCTTTGTGAAGCCCCTAGCAGCCTCTGAGTCAGTCCGCGGGGGAACACCAGGGTCGAGTCATCGTCCCTGCGCGAGTCGGATGCACCTTTCCCACCCGGGATCCCCCGCCCCTCCCGGGCAGCCGGGCCCTGCGGGGCCTCCTGCTCCGCCGCTCTCTCTGCGCTACAGGATCTTGCTTTGAATCGTTTCATTTCGATTTTGTCTTTTCCGTTCTTAGGCTGTCCCTGGCGCTCCGGCGCACGGCCCCTGCGCCTCTCCCCCGGGCTCCCCACCGGAGGTCCCTGGGCCCCGGGAGCTGGGGACGAGGGTGCCTCCTTTCCACTGTTCCTTCTCGACTCACCCCAAGTCGCTCGAGCCGCGGCGGCTGCTGCGCGTGGCGCTGGAAGCAGAAGGCCGCCAAAAGAGCGAAGAGGATGACCGAGAAGACGTAGGGCGAGACGGTCTTCCACGGCGAGCGGCGCACCGTGCAGCCCCAGCCCTCCTCCGGCATCGCTGCGGGCAGGGCGAGGGGACCCGGAGCGCGGTCGGAAGAGAAGGAAGCTTCGGCCACCTCGCCCAGCTCTTGAACTTCTGCCTGCCTGAACTTGCCGGGGACCTCTCTGGGGATGTCCGATGGAGGCGAAGAGCTTGATCTGTTCAGCGGGCAGGGAAATCCCCTCCCACTCAGCCATCCCCGAGCTCCCAGCCGAGTGCGAGGGGCGTGGAGTGGGGTGGGGAGTTGCCCGCCACGCCCTGCCCTGCCCCCAGGCCGAGCATTCCACCTTCCTTTTGGGGTCCCCACCTGGTGCGCATTCGTTCATTCACAAAGCCTCACTGGGCATCTATTGGGGGTGGACGGTGTGGGGACTCCCATGACTCCCTGCCGTGGCTGGGGTGGAGCGCAGGACCTTGCGTGCTGGGTAAGTGCTTCACTGAGCGTTAACGGCCCTCAAATCACAGCGGGCTCTGGCCTGAGAGCTGCCGCAGTCACCTTTAGCAGAGTGTGTGTATGGGGGAGGGGGGACTGTGGACACTGAAACTGGACAGTTTCATTTGACGGTGAGGGAGGACGTGGTCTGAACTAGGGTTCAAGGGCTGGAAGAGAAGGGAGATGAACCATTTCATTTGCTGCTATGGCAGGCAGACAGATCAGGCGAAAGGGAGTCCTGCAGGTCGACAGTCCTCAGGGTCCAGGCAATCGGCATACACTCCCCGGTGACCTCCAACCACTAAAGATTCCAGGTCTAGGGGTTCAGCTGACAGCACCCCAAAATGTCTCCCCATCCTAACATATCCCAAGCATGGGGGCGTGACCTTAGGGACTTTTTCTTTATCACTATGTGATACACTCCCCACTGTGTTCTGTCACTAGCTCCATTTGTAGAATCTTCTAGTCCCCATTTCACAGTCACATTGCACCCTGTCTCAGTCCCACTCTAGATTTTTGCCAGGTCTTTGCAGCCTGCCTGGATTCCTTCCCCCTCTCCACCTGACCAAATGCCCTTCTGAAATAATTGCTATGGAGCACGGTTGATGCTGCAGAGCAGATTTGCATTGTGACATGAAGAGCTGGGGCCTCCCCACTTGGTGACTGAGCTGGGGGTAGTTTGACTGTGCTCCACGCCCTGCAGCCCTGCTGGAAGTTGAAAAAGTTGCTATGGTTGGCACCCAGTATCCCCCAAGGGGGATGCTGTTAAAGGCTTGGTCCCCAGGGTGTTGCTATTGGGAGGTGCTGTGGACCTTTAGGAGGTTGGACCTGATATGAGGTCCTTAGGTCTTTGGGGTCCCTGGCCACTTCCTATCTCTCTTTGCTTCCTGGCCATAAGGTGAGTAATTTGCTTCACGGGGCACTCCCTGCCAATGCCATGTGGCACCCTCATTAGAAGCCCCAAGTATTAGATCTGTCCAGTCTTGGACTAGAATCTCCAAAATGGCGAGCCAAAATAACCCTTCTCCCATTATCAGTTAATTATCTCAGGCATTTCATTATGGTAACAGAAAGCTAATACATACAGCATGGGTGATGTCTGACGTTTTCTGAAACCAAGACCTCCCCACCCGCAGACCTTATAGCTGAGGCTGGGGGAAGAGAATTCCCTGCTATTGCTTCCCGTACCCTTGAAAACTCATTTCCTCCTTCCCTTGCTATTTTTCTTCCTCCAAGTCAGGGGAGTCAGGAGCCCAGTGCAGGAGAAGGAGTTGAGGGGCTTGGCTCTGGGGAAAATTGGGACACGGGAGGTAAGATAATTTTCCTCCAAAAGGAAGCCTAGGACCCACCAGGTGCCTTTGCGCTGCCTTTTGTTTTCCCCGTGGGACACTTGGAAACTTCTGCCTCTTTCCCTTTTATGTGGCTGGCTCACACCCCACAGGGTTGTGCCCATTGACATTATCCTTGTCAGAACCTTAAGAAGAAAGGGGACAAAGGCCCCTTGGCTTACAGCTTCCACCTTAAATATCAGGCCTCCCACTCCCGGGATTTCAGCTGGGAGGAGGGACGTCAGGATGCCTGTGTCTCAGAACTTATTCTCCCCTACTCTACCCCTGTGCCCTCTGCACCTCACAAGCCAGAAGGGACAGTTAGATGCTGAAATAGGCAACGAGACACAGTTTTCTCTTAGGTCAAAGTCTGGGTTGGTACATCAGCTCTGATCTGATGACAGACCGGAGCCCACACTCTTTCTCTTGAGTCTGTCACGTGCCAGGGGTGAAGCCCTGGTCTTCACGGTCCAAGATGGCATAGTGCCTGGCCAAGTTCCAGTCAGCACGGGGGGGACAGTAAAGAAAGGCACTCCCCTGCTTTAGCAACACTAGTTGCAGGAATCAATTCTGCTCACAACCTGCTGGCCAGAATTCAAGGTCACATGACCCAGGCTCTGCCTTGGTAAGGACAACAAAAGAAATCCGAATTTGGTCATCCAAGTTGATATTTCCTCCTCCCCCTGAAGATGGCGTGTTGGTCAGAGCAGGCTGAGCTGGTTATGCTGAGGAACACACCGCTCTCCAGTGCCTCTGCACAGTACAGTTTATTTCTTGCTCACACTGTTTGCATACCAGCGAGGGGTTCGGCTCATGGTCGGCTGAAGAAGGCTCCCTGCTGACGCAAGAGTGGGAAGGGAAAGTAGAAAGTCACAGGTGGACTCACATCACCGCCACTCACTTTCCACTGGTCAAAGCATGTCCCGTAGCCCTGACTAGCTTCAGGGTATATAGGGAAGTGGAGTGCCTGCATGGACCTGAAAAGAATCAAGCTGAAAGCACCAGGCGGAGAGCACTCTTCAGTACCAGAATCCACCCATTCAGTTACTAAAAAGCTCAGGTCATTTCCCCTCTTGCTTGTAAAATGCACTCATCACTCCCTGGAAAGATACTCCCAGTCCCTGCCAACCCGGTAGTGTATCAACCTCAAGTTTGGATACCTAAGTGATCTAGACATGGCGGGGGGTGTGTGAATCTCAAGAACAAATCCACAGACCCCCAAATACAAGGTATTTTACCCCTTCCATTCCCAACCTCTAGTGGTGTGTCATGGACCCACCGTAGACACTCCCATTTGGAACCAGAAACCTCTTCGACGCAGCAGCAATTCTGAAGCTCGGCAGGACAGATATTATGAATGCTCTTGGACTCCGGTTCGCTCCTGGGTTCTCCACTCATCTGGCGACCTCTCCCTTTCTCATTTTCCTTCCTGTGTTTTCTCCTTTACTCACAGCCATGAGACTGGGGCAAAGGAAAGTCAGAGTAGAGGGTGAAGAGCCGGGTCCAGAAGATCGGAGCTGATTCAAACACCTCGCAGAGGCCTTCGGAGCATTCCCCCTCCTCCCACCCCTCGGCAAGAGCCTCCCGGGAATTGCTCCTCCCAGCGAGGGGTTGTTAAGGAGTCCCCCCTGGGCTGCTCCCTCCCTGCCTTTCTGGGCAGATCTGGAAAATAGGGAGAAGCACCCTTGTGTGGCTTCTTTCCTGTTGACCATGTAAGCAAGATAAGAGGAGGAGGGGCCATGAGAAGAAAGGAAACCTAAAATCTATAAAAGAGGCAAGACACCTACTCCCTGAACACCAGTTCTGGACCCCCTCCTCTCCAGAGAAGTCTCCCACCACCCGTCTGTGCTACCCTTTAAACGAAAGGTTCTGCTTTTGCCCCAGCGTTTCTCAGGTGTTCAATCTTCAACGCTGGGGGAACCAGACCCCATCCTGATTTTCAAGACCAATTTCAATGACAGAACCCTCCATTTTCAGTTGGTACGTGGCTATTCAGCTTAAGAACAGTATTTCCCAGCATCTCTTGCCTGGGTCAGATGACTAAGAGGGATCATGTGAAGCCACTAAATTCTGGCCATTTCTGCAGGCAGAACACATTCCTGCAGCTACTTTTTCTAAAAGGAAGGGGGTGCCTTCCATTCCTCTTTCCTCTCTTGCTGCCCGGAACTTGGCCATGGTGCCGTACAATCTTGGACGACTTCACTCTTGGCATGTCAGAAACGCAAGAGAAAAAGTTCAGACTCTTGAATGCTTTGCAGAGACGGGTGATGTACCAGCACAGACATTCATGTAGGAGAAAAGTTTTCGTTATTTTTTGGGTGCTTCTTTATTGATTTTTTTTAAAGGAATGATCTAGAAGTGTGGTTTCACTTATCTTATTAAACCTCCTGAAAACTTAATGATTTCAGAAGTAATGATTTTTTTTTCCCTCATAATTTTCTCTCGGATGTGTGGTTGCTGACTCACAATGGGGTGGGGGATTGGATGGTGACTCACAATGGGGTGGGGGAGTGGCGGTTCACAGGATTGGACCAGGGGAGCGGGGAGTGGGGAGAAGTGCCCAGGTTCACCAGATTGGATTGGAGGAGAGCGGAAGGGAGGGGGGCTGAGAATGGGAAAGACAGTAGAATGAACTTTCCTATGTTTACGTATGAATACATGTGACCCGTGTAACTCCACCTGGTGTCTAATTACCAGAACGGGAAGTTATACCGCGTGTAAGTGTGGTATGTCAGAATACCTTCTACTGTCATGTGTAACTAAAAAGAACAAATAAAGAATTAAAATAAAAATATAAAGCACTTTCACAAACAAACAAAAGCAATTCTATGGGCTGCTGCTGTTGATACCTGCTCTGCGTGGTGTCAACAGAGGCACCCAAGAAGTGCCCCTTACACTGATGCTTGGTGAGCCTCAGTTTCTCCCATGTGATCTGTTATCATTCAGAATCCAAGTTGTTTTTCTTTTTTTTTTTTTAAGTATTGAACATATGTCGACTGAGCTCCTGCTCTGTCCAAGCCACAAGACAGGACTCTTGCCCTCTTGGAGAGGGCACTGTTAAGCGCCCCCTCCGTGGCCAGCAGGCTTTCTTTCAGTTTGTTTCCTCATTTTTAAATAAACATAATCTCAGCTAATGTTCCAACAACCCTGAGAGATAAGTAGTATTATCTTGAGATTCCTGTCTCGGATTTTTTTTTTTTTTTTTAAGCGGTTCCTTCGACACAGAATCTCCAACTGTCTTGGATTTTGAGTAACAACTAGAGTTTTGAAAACAACCAATAGATAGCTCTATTATGTGGATACACGAAAAGATGTCCTGAACCACCCCGAGAAAACTTAGGCTTAAAGA